GGACAGGGCTCTTCTGGGGAAAGCAGCCGTGGTGGGCAACCCCTGGGAAGACATTGAGTGGGGGCATCGTGGAGGATCAAGGGTGCCTGGTACCATCCCTCCTCACGCTCCTCCTCCTTCACCCTCCTCCAGTGGCTACTATCAGGTCATTCCTCACCACATACCCTTCTCTCTGTCTGCATTTGAGGCCGAATGGTTCAAATTTGTGGTCCTGCAGCACCCCAGGGCTTTTTTATCAGGGTGGAGAAGGCCACTATATAAATGCATTTGAAAGACCATAACTGGTATGGTAAGGTGTTTGAGATACTATATACAAGCTACACAAATTACACATGCTGCAAACAGACCCAAGCAATACAAAAGGAAAATGGATTTTTTTGAGACCTGTATACCTAACCAATTTTAATTCTATTTAAATTCAAGCACCTAAGAGCGTGTTTCAAGTGGGAAGAGCCTACAAAGATACCCATGCAAGGCAGAACTCCAGCAGAAACCCACTGCTGGGCCACAGTTTCCCGGAGATAAAAAGAACTATAGTACAGGCTGCATTTTTACATATAAAAGAGTGGCAGGAATGCTCACAAGGCAGCTTTCCCTTCCCCATGGGAATATCACTAAACTGCTAGAGCCTGGCTGGGCCATTAATCCTCTGCCCCCAAAAGCAGGCGCCAGACCAGCGCAAGGAATTGCGAGCATCTCTTATTATTAGCACAAGCAGGGAGGCTGCTATGGCAAATGTATAGGAAAAGCAAAGGGCTGTGCTATTAACAGGCAGAGGACAGCCCGGGGCACGGCCTGACTCTGTCCTGGGGGTGGGATGGGGAGTGACAGTCCCCAGGCTCAGATTTAGCAGGGGGCTGCCTGGGAGCCCTTCCCCGCCAGCCTTCTCCTGCCCACATCGGAGCAGCAGCCACAGAAAAAGCAGATTAATCACCTTTCTGCAAAAGCCCTGTGGCAGGGCTGCCTGAAAGCAGCACGGGGAGGGCTGGCATCACGTGAGGGGACACCAGTATGTACATACATACATATATACATGCACACATGGAGCCACCAGCTGGCTGGCTGCAACCTGGCTACCTGCCTCAACGGCCAGCACGCTCAGCAGATAGGAAAAATAATCACAAGGCAACGGGGGCACATCTGTCTTTCAGGCTTGCACAATTAAATGCCAGTTAATAAACTAAATTTGACCTACTGGTATATTTTCACACATAGTTCTAGCAACAGCTGTTGTCTGGGGAAGATCCCAGCCCTAATTCTGGCCGAGGTTTGGGATTAATTAAGGAGACAGAGGAATCTCTGTCAGGTGCAGGGCTCTGCTCTCTGCGAGCCAACCTAGGTCTTTGTAAGTTTAACCCTGCGTGATGAATTCGCCCGCAGCCTCCTCTCCCTTGCTCGGGGTTGGACCTTCCCTGTACCATTTTTTTCAACATCCCGAATTCAAAAGGGAATGCTTAGGCAGAGCACGGTGCCAGGGATATATCTTTGCTTCCCCCCAGTGCAGAGCCAGCAGTGAAATTCCTTGACGGATCCAAGCATCACTGTGTGCATCCCCGGAGCACAAAGAGGGCAGGATCCAAGAGTTTCTTCAAGCCAGCCTGCGTCCAGTTTGGCTTCCTGGGCCCTGCCATCACATCCCAGCACTCTGGGCTCTCTGGAGGATTGCCACCACGAGAAAAGGACTGCCTGGACAAGCAACTATCCTCACCAAAGCACCAAGGACCATAGCACAGGAGCCCAGAGGCTGTGAACGTTCCTGGGTCATCCCCAAAAGCCCAGGTTTGTTGTGGCTTTTCCCATTCAGACACCACAGAAGACATTTAAATCAAACCAGCGCGAGCCACAGCTTCTCTTGGCACCCTTTCAGTCAATATTGCTGCCACAAAGATGCCCTTTCTTTAGGCCATTGGCTGCACGAATAAGGAGAGACGCTTGGGGACAGCAAGTGCCCGTCCTGTCCCCATGGGCACTGCAGCCCCCAGGGGTATTTCCAGGGCTGGACAGGAGCCACACACACTGCTGCTGGCCTTCTTTGGGGATGCCAGGAAAGAGGCAGCTTCAGAAAACACTTTATGCAAACCCTTTATGCACACAAAAGCATTATTATTGAGCAGCAAATTCTTTTCTTCTCCTGGCCCCCCACAGCCCTGGGGTCTGCCAGGTTCATCCCAGTGAGAGCATCCTGCCCTCGGCTCCGTGCCCAAGGGCTGAGTTGGAGCCCTGTGCTCCGGTTCCCTGCTCCAAAGTCAATCGAGAGCTGGGAGAGGAAAAGAAAAGGAAGTGCAGATTAAACGAGGGGGATCTCTGCCCTGAGTGCTCAGAGACTCTGCTGCTCGGGGTGGAAGGAGCCGAGCCCCACAGCCTGCTCGGCCGCCCACCCCTTCTGCCAGGGAGGGAGAAGGTCCAGGGGCCACGGCAACACAGGCTTGTTTCTTGGGTTCAAACCCACCAGTTTGGAAATGGCCAAGCCCAAACTTTCACAGTCAGGTTTCAAGTCACTTAACAAAGCATGGCATCAGAACGAGAGCACCTTTCCTTCCCAAATTGCAAAGAGGCCTTGAGGCTGTTGAGCGTGACCCACCTCCTAGAAGGCAGTAGCCTCTGCACTTGCCCCAGTCCCCATCTCAGTGCCCGTTTCCCCAGGACACATCCTGGCCACGGGGCTGGGTGCCAGACCAGGCTGTCCCCACGCCAAGTGCAGGGCTGCACCATTTCAGGATTCTGTCACCACTGCTGTGAAGAATTCAGAAGCCCTGAGAAAGAAAGAGCCAGCAACCCCCTCCCAGCTCTCCGCTGCGTTTGTTTTACTGAAGAACAACTGAATTATGGGGAGAGGCAGGTTTTAAATAAGTGCACGGTATAAATAATTGCACCATCTGTTTATGAACCCGAGACAGAAATATAAAACGCCAGAATAAGACTTGAAAAGAACCAGAAAACAATTCAAGTGAAATACAGCAGTTCTTGCCGAGCTCTGAAATTTACCCTCTGCTTTTTTTTTCTTGTAGAAACCGAGGAGCTCACCACGGATTCCTGCCTTGCACTGGGCAGCATTGGCAACGGCGCGAGGAGCACAGAGGAGCCCAGCAGGAGCTTCTCTCCTTCCTTTACATGAAGCAAGGTGCTCCCAGGAAGGAGCAGCACCTGCCAGAAAGTCAATACAGGGCATGGCCCAAGGGAGGGATTTCCCATCACTTGGGTTGATTGGGGGAAAAAAAGAAAAAAAAAAAATAAATAAAACAACAAGGAAGCATCCCTGTTCTATCAGGGAGGAAGTATGGACCGCTCCTCCAGACAGACTTCGTCAGGAGTCTGTCTGGCTCCTGTCCCACGGGTTATGCTGGTGTAAGCCCTTGCTCACAGAGTCCTCTAAGCCCTGCTGGCTCCTATCAGCAAGGCAGCTCAAGATCATTCCCCTGTACATTTTCCTTTGCGGGACCTGTCTTGATTAATCAAAGAACGAAGCAGGGCATATATCATAGAATGATTTGGGTTGGAAGGGACCTTAAAGATCATCCAGTTCCCACCCCCTGCCCTGGGCAGGGACACCTCCCACCAGACCAGGTTGCTCAAAGCCCCATCCAGCCTGGTCTTGAACCCCTCCAGGGATGGGGCATCCACAGCTTCTCTGGGCAACCTGTTCCAGGGTCTCACCACCCTCACAGACAAGAATTTCTTTCTAGTATCTAAATCTCCCCTCTTTCGGTTTAAAACTCGTCCTATCACTCCATGATCAAGAGTCCCTCCCCACCACTCCTGAAGCCCCTTTAGGGACTGGAAGGGGCTCTCAGGTCTCCCTGGAACCTTCTCTTCTCCAGGCTGAGCAACCCCAACTCTCTCAGCCTGTCTCCATATATATATATGTATATATATGTATGCATACACAAACATACATATTTTAATGGCAAGAAAAAGTGCCAGATGCTAGAGAGGCTCAGGTTATTTTTGGAAATTACTTTTCCAGAGATAGTTTAGTCAGTCCAAGGGTGGCTCATACAAAGGCCACCATATCTGTGCAGAGAAAACAATCAAGTGCCATGGTGATCCCGGCGCCTGGTACAGCAGACCCAGCATGGGTGGAGCAGCAGACACACAGTCTCCTTTGGAAAACCCGAGAAAATTAACTGCAGGCCATACGCAAGGGAGGAGCCAGGCAGGACACGCAGCAGCAGCTACAGCCCCTGCCCTGACTGCCTGGCCATGGCTACAACTGCTTGACTTAGTGCAGGAGCAGACACCTCTTCCCAGAAGCACATCAGAAGAAGACATGCTCTTTCCTGACAACAAACTTGCCCAGGAGCAAAGGTGAAACGGGGCTGAGGCTGGGCAGGAAAAGAGCACAGCACTCCAGCAGCCACCTCAGCAATGGCAGAGAAGTCCTACCATCAGCACCCATGGAGAAGCCTCCTGGCCCACAGGAGAAGCCTTGAGAAAAGCCCACAATTGACCAGACCCAAATGTGGAGGAAACCATCTGATTCCCCAGGCCAGAGCTGCTTGTCCCAACAGCCTTTTCTGCAAGCCCTTGGGGGACACATTCTGCCCCAAGTCCCCTGATGCTCTCCCTGCTCCCCTTGAGCACCCCCCCAGGGTGAGCAGGCATTTGGTTCCTATTTGGGTAGAAACACTATAGGGCATAAGAATGATGGTAAAAGGGTACAAAGTCAGCTTCGTGCACTGGATTTGAACTGCACTTCACCAGCCTGAAGCAGGGATTAAGGGTACAGAGAAGGTAAAGACACTCAACATCTGCCAGAGCATCCCAACCTCAGGATGGATGGGGTGCCTCAAGGGTGCAGGTGACAGGCACCCCCAGTCACTGCTCGATTAAGGGTATAGAGAAGGTAAAGACACAAAACATCTGCCAGAACATCCCAACCTCAGGACAGACTGGGTGCCTCAAGGGTGCAGGTAACAGTGTGCAGGTGACAGGCACCCCCAGTCACTGCTAAAGTGCCTCGATTCCGGTTGTGAATACACCTGGAAGGCAGATACACTTACCTGCTGGCCAGACCATGTCTTCATTTCCCCCGGAGAAAGAGAGAAGGAATTAATTTCATCTTCCTCCCAGTCTGGGATGTCATGGTCTCCCCCCAGTTCCACCCTGAGCCGCTCAAGCGGCCGCACTGGATCCATTTCACCATTCTCAAGCACATGCCCGTGCTTTGTCTGAGAAAGTTCATTGAAGGCCAACACTTCATCACTGCCAAAAAATTTACTCTTGCCTGTAGCATCCCCTCTGGGCCCTGCACGATCCTCCGTGAGGCTGATAAATCTTGGACGGTGCTCCCAGGTTCTCCTGGGGAAAGATCCACCCAGGGATGGTGAGGAGTCATCATCTATGAACGTACAGTCAGGCTCATCCTCAGCACTGCGCTCGCTGCTCCTCCGACAGAAGGAGCCACAGACACTTTCCTCATCTTCCTCATCAACTGAGCAGTGCATGGTCAGAAGCTCATCCCGCTGGCCTGGAGATGCAGGTGGCTTTGCTCGGTGATCAGCGTTCCTCACCTCCGTTGTCCATGGGGAGAAACCACCACCTGGCAAAGGGAAAACTGGCAATCAAAAAACATAATTTGTTATCAAAAACCACCCAGAAGAGGACTTGTATTTTGCTTTTCCTCATTTTACTCTCCATCCCGTTTCACTAGAAAAGGATGTAATGGTCCTTACTCCAGGTATGTCCATACTTTACTCACTGGAGCATCCAGCCCCTGCACCCCTTGTTTCTGAGGCTGCAGCACGCTGCACAGCTTGGCTAGGCTAACTGCCAGTCAGGTCAACAGGTGCTTTAAAACACCTTGTGCACATTGGAACAACAGTAATTAGCAATAGCTGTCCATTCTGGAGCAGTTCCCTGTATGTTGTCCACTAACACACCTTCTGCAGAAGATGCTATCTCTGCCATCGCGCTGGGACTGCTGCTCAGCCTTTCCCCACCTTTGCTTTGTGTTCTCCATTTCTCTCTTAAAATAGAGAACTCCTTTTTCCCTTTCAGAGGGAGCTTGTGTTTTCGTGTTATGCTCTTCCCACTGCCAGCAACGCAGCACTGGGGGAAGAGATGGGGTCTGCAGGGGTCTCGGTGAGACCTCTTTCACCTAGGAGCTGTCTGAAGGTCTGTTTCAAGCCAGTACAGAGCAGGAGATGCTGCCTCAGGCCTCCCGGGAGGAGCTGGGGCCATGCCTTCTGCATGTGTAGGAGGAGAAACAGATGGTGATGGCTCCATCTCCTCCTGGGCACAGCAACAGCACTGGGAGAGCTCGTCCCCCGCTGCTGCCAATGCTGGGGTGAGAACGGAGCATCAGGGCGGCAGGATTCTGCCCGCCTGCATCTGCCTTGCTGTCCCCGAGGCTCCTATTGACATTCAGCTCCCTCCCTTCGGTCTACAGCACAAACAGCAGCTTCTCAGACACAGAAGGCTCAGAGAGCCAGATGTGCCGAGGTGCCAGGCACAGGGAGGCTGTGACACGCTGAACAAAACCCTCCCTGTTGGCTTCCCTGCGCCAGCGAACGGCTTCGAACTCCGAATCGCAGGCAGAGGGTGACAAGGTTCAAGGAAAACTACCAGGGTGGAAATAACCAAGCTATCCTTCCCACATGGATAAGTGCATTTTTTGGTAGCTTTTTATTCTCACTAGGATCGAGAGCAAACCCTGGAAACAAGGGTTTCCTTCCTCCTGTCTCTCAGGGATGTGTCCCCTGCCGCACACACGCCGAGCCTCCCACGCAGAACAGCCATTGACCCCTGGACGAGGTGACAGCAAAGCAACTCAGGGACCCATACATCTCCCAAAACCAGCAGTCCCACGTGCAGGAGCTCCCCACCACACCCTTCCCATCAGCAATATTATCCTCCAGTGTCTCCACTGAGATACCTGCTCGGCTCGGCGCAGCGTGGCCCGTCCAGCTCCCCTCGGTGCCTTCAGGAAGGCTCATCCCTTCACACTGAGGACCCCAAAGAGCAAACCCTTTGCCCCCACGCTCCCAGCACACGGCTTCACCTCTGGGCAGAGTGAAAGATCACGGGAAGATGTAGCAGCCTCTGGTTTGACTTCCAGCCTCTGCAGTCATTGCATCCATCTCCCATCCGGAAAGGCAAAGGTCAGGAATCATGGGTTGGTTCACTGTGCCAGCAGCCAACAGGTTCACAGGAGGAGCTGCTCCCTGTTTTTACTTGGAAAGTCGTTCCTTCCCCTGTTACCTTCACCGTCCATTTGCCATAACACACAATCCAGCACACAGAATATTAGCTTTAAAAGATTAGCCTTTGGAAAAAAAAATATATCATCAAACTGGTAGGAGGGGGATGGATTGAGGTTCCCCTCCACTGGCAACTTTAGCTTAAAGCCCTCTTCATGAGCTTGGCAAGCCTTAGACCAAAGATGCTCTTCCCCTACTCTGACAGATGGACCCCATAAGCCCCCAGTAGACCTGATTTCTTAAAGCAAGTCCCATGGTCTAAGTAGCCAAGCCCCTGGCTGTGCCACCAGTCCTGTAACCATTTGTTGACTCACCAGATTCAACTGGGAATCAGCTATCTAACTGCTCCTCAGCCACGCAGCCTCCTCACCACCTCCTGCAGCTCAGCAGGAGGTTCCTCCACCCGGAGAACACCGTTTGTACACAGTTGTGCGGCCTATCCCTGCCCCAGGAGAAAGGTCGAGGCAGTTGGTGCAATCTGAAGTCTGCTCTGCAGCCTCTCCCTTCAACGGCGCCGTCTTGACAGAGGCATCAGCCACCGCTGGGGTAGATGGTGCAGATCCTCCAGTTGGAGCTGCAGCCTTTGCTCTCCGACGAGTGCCCACCATTCTGCCTGCAGGGTCAGGTGGGATGAGTCCCTTTGACCTGTGCAGATGGTCATGGAATGGTGCCTGGTTGATGAGTTACGTGTCCTTCAAGTCTCCCACTCGGCTGGTGGAATGCCCCTCCTTTGAAGAGGCGCCCTTCCTGCACGCCCTTCCGTGCAATCTGGAAATTCGAGCTTTATCCAAATAAAGTGTAATTACCAACTGCTGACTTGCATCCAAGAACACCTCCTTTTGAGCAGCGGAGCTGCATTTTGAGTGCTGGTTCCTCCACAGCGTGTGGGAGGACCAGAGGCCAGACCCAGTCACCTGGAGAGCATCTTCACCAAGGCTCAGAGGTGTCCACTCTAAAATACCCTTCACTGCTGCCAACCACCTGGGAAGCATGGACCCCCCCAGCACCAGCCACTGCCTCCCCAAGACAGAATTTCGGGCCGTGCCCACTCCCACCAGCCCCAGGTTGTGAGCTGGCTCTGTCTGAGAGCACGGGCTTGTCTCTGGGGGGTGGAAAACAAAACCAACCCCACCACCCTTCATGAATGTGCCTTTCAGAACATTTGGACACATTAGTTGGAGGTGGGGGCGGGAGGGAAACCACAACAAAACAAATCAATAAAATCCCTGCAGGTGGGCTCACCCTTTCCTGGCCAAACAGAATGGTCCAGGGGCGAGGGGCTTGGGCTGCCTCAGTTTCCCCCTCTGCTGCAGTTTGTATGAGGAAGAAGGTTCAGAGCACACCTGTGTCCCCACAGCACGGGAGGGAAAGTCCCTCTTACGCCAGGACCTTTGGGTGTGAGAAAGGGAAGGTGGGGCCCTCCCAGCTCTTCCAGGTGCAATAAAGAGCAAGAGCAAAGCTAAATAGATTGTAAAAAGATCAAGTTTTTTGGCACTTTTGATACCCTTGCTAATATCTCTTTTATTCATACACAAGGCAAGCTACTTGGATGGCTCCAGAAGCAAGACTATCTTAAAATCTGTTATGCATTTATACAGGACCAATTTTAAAGTGTTAAGTATCTAATAATAAGCCCCGACTCTGACTGTACAAAACTAATCTTGAAATTTGCTCAATTTTCCACCCACCGACGACTTGGGCAAGGGCAAAACTAATTGCATTGAGCAATTGCTCTGTGATACGCAGACGCGTAGGAGCGTTTCAGAGCGTCAACGCATTAATTGACTAATAGATGGAAACGATCCAGAAGGTCTTAATGATTTCCTATTTGTAATTCTAAGTGAAGTTACTTTAATGCACATCTTGTTATCTCGGGAGTAAAAAAAAAAAGACATTCTTAATCATTTCCCCACTGCCACAGTAAATAGGCTTTTAAAAAAAAAGTCCTTTGTTGGATGAAAATAATCTTCTTGCTCAAAATTGCATAAATATTCCAGAAAAGGCAGACTGAGTAGAGACCCTGTAACATGAACAGGTTGGGCACAATAGAACGAGTCTCTCCTCATGTCTGTGATGGTTGAGGTTGGAAGCTCAGAACTCACCTCCCCGAGGCTCCTCGGGAGCAGTTGTCCATGCTGAACAGAGGACACAAAGAACAGACTGCAGCATCCTAAATCTCCTCCGATGGAGCAGGAAAAGCCAAGGGGAGAAAAAAAAAACAACTACAAAATCAAGAGAGAAAAAGCCAAGCTCTAAGGGAGTGCAAGGTCGTGCCGCCCTCTTGTGACCAGCAGGATGTTTTGACCTTCCTCAGCCCAACCATGGAGAGCCCTGGAGCACGGTAAGACATGTCCTTGCTGCCATCACCCCCAAGCCAAGGCTCCTCAGCCAAGGTGCCAGGCTGCTGCAGGAGCGTTGTCACAGTGCAGTTTAAGAGCAGGAACATACTCGAGGTGATTGCCTCAAACTCCAGTACCGATCAGGATGGGTTTTAATTGCCATTCATTTACTGGGCAACCTTCTGATGAAGTTTTTGGTCTCTTTACCCAGGCCTTACGTTGTCCCCTCCTATTTTCATCAGGGTACACTGAGTCAGAGAGCAGCTCTGAGAAAAAAGACCTGGGAGTCCTGGTGGACAACAGGATGACCAGGAGCAATGTGCCCTTGTGGCCAAGGCAGCAAACGGCATCACACAAAGAGCACAGCCAGCAGGTTGAGAGAGGTCATTCTCCCCCTCTACTCTGCCCTGGTGAGGCCCCATCTGGAGCACTGGGTCCAGTTCTGGGCTCCCCAGTTCAAGAAGGACAGGGTTCTGCTGGAGAGAGTACAGCAAAGGGCTACAAAGATGATTAGGGGCTAGAACATCTCTCTTGTGAGAAAAGGCTGAGGGACTTGGGTCTTTTTAGTCTGGAGAAGATTGAGGGGGGATCTGATCAACAGATATAAATACTTAAAGGGAGGGTGGCAAGAAGATGGGGCCAGTCTTTTTTTCAGTGGTGCCCAGGGACAGGACAAGAGGTAATGGGCACAAACTTGAACACAAGAAGCTTAATTTATACACAAGGAGGAACTTCTTTGAGGGTGGCAGAGCCCTGGGAGAGGCTGCCCAGAGAGGTGGTGGAGTCTCGGTCCCTGGAAACATTCAAAACCCATTTGGGGACATTCCTGTGCAACCTACTCTGGGTGGACCTGCTCTGGCAGGGGGTTGGACTAGATGATCTCCAGAGGTACCTTCCAACCCCATAGCATTCTGTGATTCTCCAAGCCCTGGTAATGACCCCTTGGGCAGACACCTCCATTAACGGGTTATCCCCTGAAGCTACAGGTAAGGAACGAGGGGTTGCCTGCACAGATACTGATTTCCAGGTAAAGCAGCACAGATGGTCATTGCCTTTAGTAGAATCTGGGACCCGACGGGAGCACGGGCAAGATTTAAGCAGGAGCAAACTGATGTCAGGGCTTGGCTTCGATGGGTTCTGATGTGTCCTGCTCAGTCTCAGGGCAGGGAGAAGTGCTGGAGAGGGATTTGAGGAGGTTTTCCTGCTTTTGTCCTGCTGCTGTTATTAATACACAGCTCCCCTTCAGTGTCTCATCTCTGCAGAACCTGAGGGTTACTGGCACTTGGGCATCTCTCTCATGGACCTGTAACATGAACTTGAGGGTTTTTTTTTTCCCTCTGCAGGATGCAGAAGCCCTGATCCCCTGCCCGGAGTGGGACAACGGCCCAGCGTACACAGATCAGAGCTTGCTCTGGTCCTCACCCCATGAAAACATTAGCACGACTGGCTAGAATGTAAGAACATCAAATATTTACACACATCTGTCACAGGAGCAAGTCTTCTAGCAGAGAGAAAAAGGATTTACACCTCACCCCGGTGCTTCTACCAACATCTATTAACTCACTGATGCACAGACACACAAATCAAATGCTTAAAAGCATTCCATGGGCACAGCAGTAGAGAATCCAGCTATTTTTCTGCCCCACCTTCTTTTAATTCACTTTGAACGCCCAGGCTGTATAAAAATGATGCCTTTCTTTGTCCAAATATTGGCAGGATCCCTTTGGAGTGTCTTCTGGCTCTAGGACAGGCTCTGTCAGCCCAAGGTGCTGCCTCCCACCCACATCCCCATTCCTTACCACTAACCAGAGGTACCGCCTGCTCCGTGCTTTTAATCCACACATACCACTGCCCACATGCCTTTCAGTGTGTTTTAATTTATAAATTTTGAAGTTAAAACAAATAAATTCTTTTTCACTGGTATTAAATAGATCAAAATTAAATTCGAACACATACAACAACTTCAGTTGACAAACAATATGAACAAAAAAAAGTCTTAGTAGGAAAGAAAGTCTGGTTTATGCATCAGAAAATCATCCACTTTCTCTACAGAAAAGTTAAAACACTTCATTAAAGGTAAGACATCTGCTTTTCTCCTTGCTACCCTTCCCTCAGCCGGCTTTAAACAAGAAGGAAGATACTTTTTTCCCCCTTGGAAAACATTGACAATTGAGTTATCACATACATTTTCATAACAAATTAAAAATCTGTGTTGTGATTATAAGGATCCCTTATCCGCACGTGTTTTTGGAGGAGTGGGGTCTGAACACAATGAAGTACCATTCAATGAACAGGGACTCTCAGCACTCTCAAGTAATACTGTAATTTCAAAGGAATATCATCAACACAAATTCTAGGCAGTCTGTGAATATCAAATAAACTTGATTCTATTTCACTTGCCTAAACCTGAAATTTCTCAGCCGTGCTTTAACGTGCCCACATCTAGCTCACTTTGGGAACTACCTGTTTGCCCAGGGACAAGCCAATTCAATAAAAGTGGTGGCTCTACAGAACATCTGAGTTTGGATGAGGAAGAAATTAAATTGGCTTCTTAATTTTAAGTCACATAAGACGGTTAACCTTCAATCAATCAATCAGACACTCATTTCCACTGGTGCTCAGCACTTGCTCTCCCTGTCTTTTTAACCAATTATATTCTACAGAACCGACTGTCACACTGTGGTGGGGAAATTGTTTCTGACAAGTTGTACTTCGTGCTTTTAAGCAAACTGGCACCAGGCACACCTCACAGGATGGAAAGCTGAGAGAAGCAAAGTGCATCAGGCAACGAGCTACTGCAACTGGCCAAGGACATTCATGTCCTCAACTCTCTGCTACAGGAAACAACGATTAAAAAACCCACCGCACAGGAGACACGCAACTTTATTCAACTAGAGGCAAGAAAACTCAGAAAATCCAATTTCCTACCTGCATCCTGCCAGCTAAAACCTTGGAGCAGGTTACAACTTTAGTGATATAAATCCATTTTTTTTACAGTTTTAGATGATGATGGCTTCCATACTAAAAAAGGATCATCATGAGCCAAAAACCAACCACACCTTCACCATATAACCAGTAGATTTCTGCCTGCTCTTCCAGATTAAAAACACCTCTTAGGTGTTTTTGGTCACTTAGGTGACCAACTGAAAAGTAAATCTAGTTAATATAAAAATAATTTTCTTCTCTCTTGTATAAGCCAAGAGCAACGTGACAGAACAAACCAGGATGACACTATCTAAATCAAAAAGCAATGAAAAAGCCAGGATTTTAAGTCCTCTTAAAAATAATTTTCCTTCATTTCAAAAAGATACAGGATCAATTAATGTTACTCTGATTATCTTTCAAATATAATACCAGCTTAAGTCACAAGACACTACAGAGATAGAATTCCAAGGATTTCCCTAAAAGTATGGTTAAATTCTTGTGCTGCAGCAGGAAAGAAAGATTTGCTTCAAAGAACTCCTTGTAGCCATCAACAGCTTTACTATCTACTTCCCTTGAATATTTCTTTTCAGCTTCATAAAGCTAAACTAATGTTTAAATACATGGAAAACTGTGCACTTAAAAAAAATAATATCACTTTTCATACCGGTAATAATTTAATGGAAGTTTAAAAATTCCCTATTTCCATTTTATACCCACATATATGAAACACTCCAGGTCCTCTCACAGCACCTGAGAACGGCCACAGCCCACGGTGGTAAGGAAGGAGCAGGGAAAAGCCATCACCTTCACACATACTCGCTGGTAACAACCATTCCACAGCAAAGCTGGGGCCCTGCAGGGACAAACTGATTCTTCCTTCCCTCTTCTCCACTCCCAGAAATGCAAAAATGTACCTTTAAGCTGCACATTTAGAAATTTCCATCCCGACTATTCAAATATTTATAGCGCTTACAGCAGAAACTGTACTTTTATACATAAATATAAATTAGGCATATTTGCACATCAGCAGGATCCACGGACGTCAATTTCTGGTCTATCTGCATTACTACAGGAAAAAAAAAATAATTCTCCTTTTCAGGAAAAAAAAAAGTGACATTTTAACAGCAGGCTTTTCACCCTCAGATGTTTCAAAGCTCTCCCCTTGGATTGCTTACTGGAAATAACAGACAAGATAAATAACTTCTGCACAGTCTCCAAAAACCAATTCTCCAGGTCTCAATAGCTATGTCAAAATTCAAATGGCACACTTGTACACCTGTGGATGGCTCTCCAGGAAAGGTACATAAGTGCACCTACAGGGAATTGGAGAAGAAAAACTCCTGCCCTTTTATAAAAAGTATTAAGGACAAAAAAACACAAAAAACCAACCAAAAAAAAAACTTCTAGAAAAAAATTTCTCACATCCAAATACAAAGAAACAATATGCAAAATCATAATCATTTATGCCGAAATGCTGTCCATGTAAACAACCACATGAAAAGTTACATACAAACAGTTAAGATTGGAATTCATATCCTACTTCATAGCAGCCACCACCACCATCATCATTTAGTTTACTTCCTCCAACCTATTTTAAAACTTTGGGGCATAACTCCTGGTGTGGTACGTTAGCACCCAAAGACCATGGTATCAAAACCTCAACGTATTTCACACAATCTTTTTTTAAAAAATATATGTATATTTCAGTTGGTACTCTCCAGAGAAATTTCCATTCTCATTCACTTGGTACTCTCCAGAGAAATTTCCATTCTCAATATACAGAGTGACAGCTGAGTCCCTGTTGCAAACCAGTCTTAACTATTTCTCCAAGACTTTCAACTCTCTAATCTCTGATCACATGAAAAGATTTGTAACTATCCAGTGTAAACACGCTCCCTCTCCCACAACACATGGATTAGTCAGTGTTACTATGGTGTTGAAGGCATTTGGCTGAAATGCTCTTTCCTGACATATGAAAGGATGAAAGGTAAATACACAACACACGAATATGAGCAAAGGCAGTTCCTTTCCACCCAGCTCCAGTTAATTGCAAAATGGACCCAACTTTTTTTGCTGAAATCTGATTTCAAAATGAAAGCTCACAGTCCTACGATGCACTTTATATACATTTCACCATCCCGTAAGTGAATGAAAAAAAAAAGTCAAACACATTTCTTCCCTACTCAACGCATAACAGCAATGAAGTTCTATTATTTCATAAGGCATATTCATCTTCAGTGAGAATCCAAGCATAGGCAAGAATTCTGCCAAGTCGTGCGATCCTATAAGTTCATCTTCATCTACCCAACGTCTGGAAATTCCAGTATCTCCCACTCTGTTCCTCAGCCAGAATAATCCCTGTCACAGCGGGCATTTTTTATTTAACACAACAAAAGAGCAGGGCTAAATAAAAAACCCCTCAGCAGCTGGACCTCTGAATCTTTCAAAAAGAGGGACACACAAACGACCAATTTTTGCAGTTCTCTGGCTTTATCCCATAACCTGCCTTTTTTACAATATCTCTATATATATAAATTAGAAGGAGATAAAGCCAACGATTAACTGCAGCAGCGTTCATGAAAAAACTTCAGTCCGTATTACACAGTCTCTTCTGAGCAGAGATCACTGAGGTGTAAAGGTGAGAATCATCCAGCTGATAACAAAGTAGAAGAGGAAGATGGGGTACACAACAAGAGCTTTGCGGTTCGGAGGCTGACTGTCTGCCAGGAAAGCTGTAGATGCTGGTGAAAAAGAAAAATACTTGGAAGTGTGAGCAGCATAAAACTAGAAGTCTAAGATCCACTGCAGATATTAATTAATTTGAATTAGGATCTGCATTACAATTATGTTGAAAGAGAAAACAGAGTAATCTGTTGCTCAACACCAATGGTCTATAATCGCCAATTAAAACCAATTTAGCAAATAGAAAGATAAATGCTGATTACTGTTCTGTAACGAGTTATGCTTACAGACTAAAGACAGGAGAAATAATGCAAATGCATCTGTATGAAACTGACATTTTCTAATAGCATTTGTAACACAGATCACGGAATAAAATACCCAGTAGTCTCACATGGAGTTTAATATTAAATTATCATCCTGCATATACATATGACCATAAAAATCAAGAGGAGCATAGACAGAGTCTGAATCTCTCCCAACAAAGGATGGGAAGAGCCATTTCTACAATAATTCAGCAGCCTAGGAAAGATCTTAAACTAAAATACCCACTGGCTTTACCCAATGGAATGCTTGCAGATCTACCTCCCTAAACAGCATGCAAAATTAATATAACATATAATGCAAAAAGGTACTTACCTAACGTTGACCAACCAAACATTGCTACAACTACAATAAGCCGTATAATGAAGCTGACAGTCCCAGACCCTGCCAGCAGAACCAGCCTGCAGACCAGCATCGCCACTGTCAGGGGGAGGACACAGTAACCCAGAACACACAGGCTCTGAAAAAAAGATCTGGAATGGAGAGAGAGAAATAGGGAAAAAAGTAGTCAAACCAAAGGACTGCAGAAACTCCAAGCACTGAGAGCATTTTAACCGCTACTAAATAACCCAGCACTCACATAGTTCCTCCGAGAAGCTTTGAGTTTAGTGTGATGACAACTGCACCAAACCAGATGATGACAAAGACCTCAGCAAACTGGGGGCCTCCGTCGTCTTTACTGTCTGCTGATCCACCCTGAAGCATCCTGTTGTAGGTAACAGAGAAAAAGAATCATTTGCAATCAATGACTTGAGTTTTCACAGACTTGGAGTAGATAGCAGAACAGGAGCCCAAAACACTGATCTCCAGTTAAGCTTTAGACTGATCATTTTTCATCTGTAATTTTGAGTAGTATCCTCAATTTTGTATAGAAGAGGAAAATGACTGTGGCTCAACTGAGGACATTTCAGTCCATTTGTTTACTTGTTTTGCAGACTGTGTAAGCATGTAGAAGAGAATGAAACCATAGATAACAGGCTAAAAGATAAAAATTAAAGTACTAAAACTTTGGTAAAGTCTCAAAGCTGGCAGTGTAGTGCACGATAAAACACAAAAGCCTTAAGGAAAGCTCATAATAACTACAGGACACAAGCAATATAACGCCTGGGAAAGCGAGCATGCCTTGATTTCAAGATTTAAATCACACCTCGTACTTATGCTAAAGCTTTAGCAAGATTTTACTGGACGGTTTCTGTATATTGAGTATACAAGTGCACCTCAATTTGTTGATATCACTAACACTTCCACCCTACCACAGGCAGATCTGTGCACACACGCCCCAGTGGAGCATGAGAAACTCCTGGGAACCACCATCATCTCCCATCTGTGAACTCCCACAACAGCCTCTCTTTTTCCATCACTTCTGCAGGATATGTAGCACGTAATACTGCAGCTCTCAGACAAAGGTTTTAGGGTCAAAGTCAGCCAAACGCATCAGAATCAAGGACAACATGAATCAGGATAAAATAAATGACTTTCAATAAAATCATTCTTAAGAGAGAGGACTAGGAAGAGTTCAGCTTTAAATCCTAAATTTAAAGAAGGGAGGTCCTACTGGGCTTGAAGTGTCACAAACACATTTTATAAGAAAATATAAACAGGCAGTGTTTGCGAAAGACCAGAGGTCTTGATCTCAACATATGTAATCAGAAAGCTTTAATTTCTCATTTTTCCAAAGTAAACGACTATAAAAAACCCAAGTCCACCCACCCACTATTGGTACTTACAGCGCAAGTGAGACACAAAGCACCAAAGGGCCCCAAAGATCCCCTGTAGGTAAAGGAAAAACTAAAATCATAAATGTCATTTAGGTGCCAGATAGAATGATGCTGTTTCATTTTATTGGGAGCAATAAAGCTCCTTTTCCAACTCCCAATGTATCACTTTCCATATTACACTTACTGATAATTTTCTTATTTAGCATCTTACTCCACATTCTGTAACACAATTTATTCAAAGCCTGCCTACTGTTACAGCTACTGCTTCTACATACTCTAGCACACGTTCCCCCTTTAAAGAGCTTTGGTAACACTCTGGTTTTTCATGTTTGCTATTCATAGTTCTACAACAGCAGAAAGAACATGGAACAGACACTTCTGAATCCCTTTTCCCATTAACTCTCCCTTCTCCAACATAGACAAAGTGTTGGCAAAACACCCTTTCAACATTTTGAAATTCTTCTTATACGTACAGTCTCTGAGGAGGGCACTACTCTTCTTTGGATACATGACATGGACAAATTTCTTCCCAACGGCCTTCAGATCTCTCATCTGAAATAAAGAAGTAACACTTTAATTTGTCCCTTCATAAAAGTTACAGTTCACAACAAAAAGCTGAAAGATAAAAGTAAAGCAATATCAATGGCAAATCAAGGCGGGATCCAACATGAAGATATCTGCAGCATCCTCTGCAACAAACAATGCCCACTTTTTCTAAACTCCTTAACGACCACCATATTATATCTTTTAATAACACCCAATTGAGACCAATAATTTGTTTGCTCCTCTACGAAAAGAAAATTAATGATAAATCCTATTAGTCGTGGCAGTTTTCTTCCAAGCTCTGAGGTCTTTACCCTTGCAAAGATTTTAAAATGACAGAGAAACTTTGGGACTGTTATTCAGATGGTTTGACTCACAATAGTTCATTTTACAGGGCTAGTACTAAAAAAAAAAAATCCCCAAACTCACAGTGAAGTCAAGCCAAGTAGACTTATGCAAAAATACAGGTTTTGTATAACAGTTGGCCAAAGACATTCAGCAAAACACTGTTTTATTACAAATAGAGGCACAGACTCACAATAGTATCCCTAACAGGCTCATCCAGTGTGGAGTAGTCATCATCAGGAGAGTGGGATCCCACGGGAACAGTAATCTCCCCTTCCACTGGAATGTCTTCAGATATTGACACATCTGCGAGACCTGGAAACTAAATGTTTTTTAAAACCTTTAGAAAGGAAGGAATACAAACCAGCTCATACTCACTTCAGCTGTTTCTGAGCTGGGATTAGGATGAAAATAACTACTCAGAATTCAAATACACAACACTTAATAACACAGTCAACAACAGGGCCCAGCCATTGTCTGCTCAGTTTGAACAGCTCACGGCCTAAAGAGGTGAGTAGATATGTATAAGCAAAGCATTTCTGTTTCCTTCAGTAACTCCCAGTAACATGCTTTGTGTCCTTTGTTTAGACAGCAATAGCTGATGGATTATCAGGGGGTTGGAGCACCTCTGCTATGAGGAAAGGCTGAGGGAGCTGGGGTTGTTCAGCCTGGAGAAGAGGAGGCTCCAGGGAGACCTAATAGCAGCCTTCCAGTACCTGAGGGGGCTACAGGAAGGCTGGGGGGAGCCTGTTTACAAAGGCCTGTATGATAGGACGAGGGGCAATGGCTTCAAGCTGGAGGGGAGCAGATTTAGACTGGAGTTTAGGAGAAAGTTCTTCACTGTGAGGGTGGTGGAGCACTGGAACAGGTTGCCCAGGGAGGTGGTTGAGGCCCCATCCCTGGAGATATTCAAGGTGAGACTCAATGATGGCCTGGGCAACCTGGTCTAGTTGGGGGTGTCCCTGCTGACTGCGAGGGAGTTGGACTGGATGACCTTTGGAGGTCCCTTCCGGCCTGGACGATTCTATGATTCCAGGAAATAAAAAGCCTCTTTGTGTTTTTTAAGTAATGTAATGCCTGCCAGATGTACAGCCACACCAATGCACAGGAGTACGCTGTCTTTTATGGGCTCCATGGGGAAACAACTCACGAGAATCTGTATAGACATCTACAGCCTGAGCACAAAGTCAGGGCTGTTAAGCACTGAATGCTAACACCAATTATTTCCGCCACCCAAGCAGCAGGTTAAAGCACTCGACTTCCCAGCGGTGTAAGCAAACAGAGAACAGCCCGACCGGTTCCACAGCGAACTCTGGGGCACACGGGGCAGGGGACAAGCCGCAGGGAGGGAGCTGCCAGAGACCGACAGCTCCTTGTCCCTACCCTCCTTCCTTCCTTCCCTCCCTCCCCATCTCCCTCCCTCCTTCCCTCCCTGCCAGCCGGCGGCCACCGAGGCCTCCCAGCGCCCCGCTCCCCCCACAGCCTGCCCCTGTCCCTGCTCGCCCGGCCCCCCGAGACCAGAGCGCCCGGAGCTCCAGGGGGCACCGCCAGCCCGCAGCCCCAACCCCACAGAACGAGCCCCGCCGTGCCTCCCAGAGGGACTAGGGTGACCACCCCACTCACCAACGGCCCGCCAACACCGCCGCTCCCCTCCGCCGCCGCCATCTTGACTTGCCCAGGCGACGTGGAGGCCGCCTTACGTCATCACCGTGCGCCGCCACCGCCGCCGCGTCACGCACCGCCCGGGGGCGTCCATGGCAACGGGGGGCGGGGGAACCCACCCGTTCCGCCCCGCTCCGCCGCGCCCCGCCGGCAGAGGGCGCC